CGAAATATTCTGCATCTACTGCTGTTATTTTCTTTAATCCGGCCACACCTATTTCTTCCCCATTATATACTATCCCCCATACTTTGTAGTCGTTTCTTGAATCCAGAGATTCAAACCATTTGCGTTGTCCTTCCTTCGTTAGATCGGGTGTACTTGTAAGGCGCTTTATTTCGGGATCATTTAGCCAATCCCAGGATAAAACCAGAAATTTCTGATCGAATTTTACAAATTCTATCTTATCAGGCTTCATCCTTTAAATTCGTTATAGTCTCTTATATAGTCAGATTCATTGTAAACATCGCTGGCAAGGCATAACAAGACAGCATCATGCGAGAATCGCATCGTATGCCAGAAAGGGGGAGGCATCAACAGCCCTTTATCAGGGCTATTAAGAATAAACGTTTCCTTTACACCATTCCGGGGTTCTACCGTGACGTCAATAATTCCATTGACACAAAACAGCAGCTGCCAGAGTTCTTTATGTGCATGCCCGCCGCGTTCTACATGATGAGGTGTGTAGTAGGTCCAGTAAACCCGTTTAACTTCAAAAGGTATGTTCTTTTGGTATTCTGCAACGGTAATAAAACCAACGTTAGACGCGCCAATCGAGGGAAATTCAATGATAGCGGGAATCAGTTTTTCGATAGATCTAGTGTCCATAAGGGTTAATCAGTTTTACGAAACTTTCCTAATATGCCTTTTTTCTTAGTTTTTTTGCTCTCTTCATAATAACCACTTCCATTTCCGTAACCGTAGCCATAACCATAACCATAACCGTAACCATAGCCGTAACCGTATTTCTGTACGTGGTCAACGCCATTAAAGATCAATGCAACATTCTTAATTTTCCCATCAGCACTTAAATTATTCAGCATTCGTATATGCTCTTTAATAGTCCTTGCCTGACGAGTAATAAATAGGTTCACACCCGCATGCTGAGATAAAGTCAATGCATCTGATACTAGGCCGATTGGTGCGGTATCAATAATCACCAGGTCAAACATTTCCTGAAGATCGTCAATCAGTTGTTTTGTCTTAGGTAATAAGATCAGTTCACCAGGGTTCGGCGGCATCGGCCCACAATTAGCTATATACAAATTGTCATGTACACCGGAAGGCTTAATTACTTTGTCTAAACCGACCATACCGGCCAGGTAACCACTAATACCGCCATCACGTGGTAATCCCAAACGCTCGGACAATTTAGGTTTTCTAAGGTCAAACTCCATGACTACCACTCTCTTATTAGCGAGCGCGATTGTCAATCCAAGGTTAAGAGAAACGAACGATTTACCCTCCTCACTCACACTTGAAGTAACCATTATGACCTTTTTATTAGCACTGCTATTGGTCATAAATTCCAGGTTGGCCCGGATAAGACGAAACTGTTCTGCGATACCGGTACGTACTTGTTCACCAACAACGATATCCGCGAT